GAGAGAGAGAGAGAGAGAGAGAGAGAGAGAGAGAGAAGGAAGAAGAGGAGGAGGGGTCTGTGTCCCGCTTCTTATGGATTCCCCTGCACATGCTAATATGGGTTTACAGAGCTTACCACACATGCGCAGACGGTGTGATCACACAGTGCACGGATTACGTAGGACGTAAGGCCCCTGGCTTGACTACTGAACTGCGCATGTGCGGTCATATAAATCGAGGCGTGGCTCGGAATTTCAACACAGAGTAGGATGTGTATTTTGATTGGCACATTAAAATTAACACACGTTCCTTGTTTCATTATGGCGAATATATTGAAACCCTCTCAGTTATTTTTAGAAACATTGTATGTTATGGTGAACTGTACTCATGCTACTGTGCCTTTAAACACCAGACAGACACCACTTTATAGTAAATACTGTCTTACTTCCTCTCTACCTCCCCCAAGAGATATTTGTACTCGATTGTGTATTGTAACATGTGCACAATAGCTAGACCATGGAACACATCTGCATCTATCAGTGAATAAATGGGGAAAATTGTGATCCATATTCCTATTGGGGAATCTCCAGCTTGGGGGCAGTGGAGCATTCCATGCTTTGGTCTTACTCTTTCCTTTCCTGACCCTGCCCACTCAGAAAGCCCGCCAAGTAGTGGCCCCTCCCCTCAGAAAGCCCGCCAAGTAGTGGCCCCTCCCCTCAGAAAGCCCGCCAAAGTCAGTCCCTCCTGGAAATGACCAAGACCACACCTACAGGCTACCCTACAGCCACTAGGGAGATGCTTTGCTCTGCTTTATTAAACCAGGATTTATTCATCTTGATTGGCTTATTGTATCAGTGGTAGAGGATATCCAATAACAGGGATTCAAAATTTATCAACTCCCATATATAATGGAATACTACACACCAATAAGAAAGGATGTCCTCTTTAGTAACAACATGGGTGGACCTGGGTGACATGTTGAGAGAAATTAGTCAGGCATTGAAGGCTAAAACTGCTTGTTAGTTTGAAAGAACCAACTAAAATCAGACAGGAGTTTATATTATTTTCTTGGGTTTGGAAAGACTGGTTCTTAAAGTAGGATGCAAAACTATTAATCATAAGGAAGTCTATGTATTCAAAATATGAAGGAGTTTAGAAATTTCCCAAGATTTACTTTCTATAGGGAGTGTGAGGAGCTATGAGGAGTAGAACCCAGGGAAAACAGAATGCTCACATGCTGAGAAGTGCTGGAGCTGGAAATGATCACGTGAGAATTACCCTGCAACTTTCTATATCTTTGTATATCTGGGAAGAATGAAGGTTGAGTGTTTTGTGTGGACCCAAACTCCAAAGCCACAGTTTAGTGCTTAAAGCCTTCCAGTCCTACATATCCTCTCCTCCTTTGTTAATGGGTGAGGCTTCCTGGTGTTTTAGATGTGTAAAACCGAGCAAAAGGCAATGGCTAAAGTCAGTGGAAACTTTGTAAAAAGTATAGTTTGCATTCAGTAAAATTAATTCACTTGATGTACATCTTCATCACTTTGGAAAACATATAATCATGCATTCTTCGTCAAGATATATAGGGGCTGGAGAGTTGGTTCAACCATTAAGAACATTTATTGCTCTTACATAGGACTGGATTTGATTCCCAGCATCCATATGGTGGCTCACACACTCACCTCTAACTCCAATTCCAGGGATCTAACACACTTCTCAGAACCCCCCAACACTAGACATGCATGTAGTACACATATACACATACACACAGACAAAACACTCATACACATAAAATAGATCTAAGACAATAGTTTACAAAGGATATAGACTCCCTGCCCCTTACCCCACTCCAACTTCCCCATTCCCTGTTGCAGACACTCTGTACCTCTGTCCCCAGCCCTTACACACTTACTTTTCCAGAATGCCACAAAATGGATCCCTGAAGCAGAGACTTCACATTTGACTTCTTTCCCGTCCATGCAGCATTGCTCTTCAGACAGTGCAGTGTCTATCAATAGTGTGTCAGACACACCGCTGGCTAGATTCTAAGAGACAGTCCACAGCACCACTGGCACAGGAGCAGTGCTCTGAATTCACAAGTGTGCAAGCACCACATAGTCAAATGTTACACAAAGAAGTTAAGAAAATCTGGCAGGAAGCTTGTAGAGAAGTGAGAAGAGGAAGCGAGTCATGGCAGTTTGGGTTTCTTTTCAAATAAGCAGGAAGGAGACAGCTTCCTGTGGCCCACTGCCTATAAGCTTGCTTAAACTTGTTTATATGTTTAGTTTTGGATCAGAAGCCTTGGGACAATGCCTGGTAAAGTTGTATCGAAACAGGCAAGTGCAGGCTTGTGTTCTAACTTATTTCCTCTGTTTGAGAGTTTGTTTAACTTGTTTAAACAAACTTGTTTAAAATTTGTTTAAGCTTAAGGACATTTGGATGATTGCAAATGTTGTGTGTTTTTTTTTTTTTTTTTAAAGCTGCTACAAATATACACGTATAGGTTTCTTTTTCTTTTTTTTGTTAAATCTTAAATGCAGGCTTTCCTTTCAGTATGGGGAAATGTGGGCAGGATGGGGGCACATCACCATATTGTGCAGTCCCTGCACAAATAGCTTCATAGTAGTTGCACAATTTTGCCTTTCTAAAAGAAGGGCGCTGGAGTCACATCAACATCGAATTCATCAACCTCCTGTTATATAGACAGTCAATTTTCTCTTGAATCTAAGATGATTTTTCCCAAAGACAAGGTCAGAGACATTCCTCTCACTTTTTGAGGAATCAAATGACTTTAAAATATCAAGCTTTGTGCTTAGGTCTACAGTCTTTCTCACGTCTTGTTTTTAGCAGACAGACACCAGGTTGTTTTTATGTAGCACATACTGTAACGATGCCATCCTTTCCCAGTCTATAAACCATACATTTCTGTTAAATATGTGTTGACCACATGTGTTTGATATAACTTCTGGAGTCTTTTTTATTTTTTTCTGCTGTATTGTTCCAGTGTCTACTCTTTTCCCAGAACCAGGCTCTGGTGCTATTTATTTATTCCTGTTCCCATAAGTCAAGAGATTAGGCAGAATGATCTCTGAATTCGACCCTTTTTCAGAATCATTTTGGACTATTCATTTCCTTTTAGTTTTCATAGTACCTTTCATATAATTTGGTGCTATGAATTTCATTTTTTCTGAAGGTAATCATTCCCCAGGAAGTGAAACTGTTGCATCTATAAACTTGCTAAGAAATTGTTGACATATGAGCAATATTGAGTGTTCCAGTTTATTATGTGAAGCATTTACTTATATTGTTCTTTTATTGAATAAAATAAGGGAGTCAAGTAATGGGGGTAAAAACCTGATTGATCAGAGAAGCAGTGGAGAAGAGACCAATGACCTCCTGTCTCTTGCCTTCCCCAATCCAAAATGGCCTGGGATCTTTCTTAGCCCCTTACTGTGTCCCTCTCTCTATATATGTATCTTGGGTCCTACAAAACATCCATGGCTAATTCTGGTCAGCTAGCCACTAGCTCTGCCCATGATTCAATGTTACAATTTATTGGCAGTCTTGGAGTGTCTGTGTGAACAAATATCCTACAACAATTATGTGTTTAGATCTTCCTTGATTTCTTTTTTTTTAATTTAAAAAAATTATGCATATGAGTGTTTTGCCTGAATAAATATCTAGCATTGCATGCATTCCTAGGTCTGACCACGGTCAGGATACAGTGTCAGATTTCTGAAACTGGAATTATAGATGGTTGTAAGCTATTATGTGGGTGCTGGAATCACCCCAGGTCCTGAGCTAACTCTCCAGCCCTGTCCTGATTTCTTCATAATTTTACATGTAGTTTTGTTATGCCTATTATGAACTTTTTTTAGATGTATAATTTTATGGTTTTTGGCATTACTGTAAATGGTGAGGTCTTACATGTCAACTTCCTTTTGACAGTAAAATGAAACTGACTTTGCCACGCTGACATTGTGTCCTACAGCTTTGTAAACTCATTTTTTACATCTAGTAGTCTTTTCTGGAGTTGTTAGAATTTTTATTCAGATAGGACCATGTCATCTGTGAAGAGAAACACTTTCATGTGTTTTCAAAAAGTGTAAACTTTCTTTCTTTCTTTAAGAAAGTTTCTTTTATGTATATGACTGTTTTATCCACACATTTGCTCATCACATGTGTCCTGGTGACTATAAGAAGCCAGAAGAGTGTGATGGGTCTCCTGGAACTGGAGTTGTGCACAGTTGAAAGCTATTTTGTAGGTGCTAGGAATTGAACCTGTGTTCTCTGGAAGACAAATAGTCTTAACTGCTGAGCCATTCTCCAGCCACATGACCCTATTTCTTTGCCCTGGTGAGGCCCTCCTGTGAAAAGTCATCCTGGTATAGTGAGCAGACATCCTACTCCTGCTCCTGATTGCTGGGAAAGAATTCTCAACTGTACCCTTGGGAATCAAGCAGACTGCAGTTGGATTTATTGTTTTGTTTGTAATGGATAACTTTTGTAGGGTTGAGGAAGTTCCTCTGATTCCTAATTTTCACACACTTTTGGTGTGTTTATTGAGATATTTCTATTTTTCCTCTTTTCTTAGTTTGTTCATAGGTCTAATTACACTGATTTCCCCCGAATGTGTCTGTTCCTCCTTCTAACCAGAACGCTTTATGGAGAGAAATCCAGCTGACTGTTGTTGTTGCTTCCCACTGCTCCTCACTCCTGTTCTTTCTTGCTCTTTGATGATTCACCCTTAGTTCAGGAACTGGAAGACCCTGGTCAAGGTTCTGTTTCCACCCTCTCTAGTCTTCTTTCCACCATGGCATCCTTTATGGACCAGGACCTTCTCTGAAAGGGATTTGCAGTGTCCTTTCAGGTACTGGTGGGCAGTTGTGAAGTGGGTTTTTGTGGTCAGTTTCTTTCGTTTTCCTTAAGAAGTTGGCATTTCTATATTCATATTTTACAGGTGAAGAGCTCCAAGGAAAATATCTCAGGATCATCTCCCCCGAGTCCTCTGCTAAGCTCTACTGCTGCTATACAGTGATTGCCATCCTCGCTACATCTGTGATTGCACTGTCTGTTGCTTTGTCAGGTGAGTGACTCATCTCCGGGTTCTGCAGCGTTCCTTCCACATCCACGTTGTCACTTAGATTTACTGACCACTGTGAGCCAGGCACTGTGGGGAGGGCTGGAGAGAAAACACCCTGGAAATTCCTGTTCTCTGGGAAGTTGGGATCTAGCAGGAAGATGCAGTGAAGGAACAGCACAGGCTGTGGTGTGCACAGGAGGTCAGGCTCAGCATCCCTGGGAAGAAGGCATTCAGCAACCTCTAGAGAGATGCAGGAGACACATGTCCTCCTGGGAGATCTATTCAAGGCAGAGAACAAGGAAAGGAAAACCCAAAGGAGTAGCCTCAAGGAGGCTGCTGCAGCTAAGGGAAGTGAGGGGAGTGAAGAGCAATGTGGTTGGGGAAGGTACCGAACCCCCACCCCAACCAGGACTCATGGTTTCAGTTAATATCTTCAACCATGGTCTGAAAATATTAAATAGAATGTTCCAGAAATAGGTGATTCCCAAGCTTTCATTGTTAGACTATTCTGAAAAATGTGATAAAATCTTGTATAGCTTTCCTGCCATAGCTGGAGTATATGATTCATGATAATGTTTTATAAAATCAACTTTAACCATGTCAATGAATACTACTCAAGTCTAAACTTGGACAAACATTTGCCAAGAAGACAGTCAGTGTAGCCTAAACTGTTATGTAACTGTGAAAATAGTCAGATAAAGAGAAGATACAGTCACCTTCATTTCCTGTTGTATTTGTCCCTTTCATTAAATCCTCATGGTCCTGCCTATGAGAACAGGGGACAGATGTAACAAATTGCCCTACACTAAAAATAAGTGTGTGTGTGTGTGTGTGTGTGTGTGTGTGTGTGTGTGTGTGTGTGTCATTTCTAGTATTTAATATTTCTTATCAAACCACTTGTTTCTAGGCTCAATAGCCCTTCAAAAGAGCCATGCATTCATTCTCATCTGTTAAAGGAAGAAAAAGACAAAATTATGAAAGAAAAATGTCTGTAATTTTTCAAAGCAGCCCTCTGAAAGCTTGCTGCTTCAGGGCTTCTTACACACACACACACACACACACACACACACACACACACACACACACACAATCACTTTACTATAATAGACTCACAAGTGAACACATCACACAGCTGCATCAATATAGCCACTCCAACACTTGCCTTACACTACTCTTCCTTGTTCTTGGTGTTACACTATGCCTACACTCACAGCTGTTTACACTATACATTATAGGCTAGGATAAGCATATGGGGGTGTGTTCCTAAATTGTCTTATAATAAAGATCCCAGAACTCGACATAAGGTGAAAGCTGAAAGATCAGAGAAACAGAGCAAGCCATAGCCACCATGTCTTACCTCACCAACTCCTCAGTCCGAAAGAGTATGAGTTCCTGTCTCCTCCCACCTTATATTCCTTTCTTTGCTCAGCCTTATCACTTTCTGTCTAAAACTTCCTAGTGCTGAGATTAAAGGTGTGTGATCCCAAGTGCTGGAATTAAAGGTGTATGCCACCATTGCCTGCCTCTGTTTCTCTGTAAGACTGGATTAATCTCTTGTAGCCCATTGTGGCCTTGAACTCACAGAGATCCAGAAGGATCTCTTCCTCTGCCTCCTGAGTGCTAGGTTAAAGGTGTATGCCACCACTACCAGACCTCTATGGCTAACTCTGTGGCTGGCTCTGTCCTCTGATCTTCAGGCAAGCTTTATTTGTTAGATTACAAACAATATATAATCACAGGGGAATGCATGGGTCTTTTTCTTTCTGATTTTGTGTGAACATATTTAATATTATACTTTCTAGGTCTCCCACTTTGTTGCAAGCTTCATTTTTTCTTTATGTCTGAATAACATTCTGTTTTATACATGTACCATATTTTCATTATCTGTTAGCCATTTTATGGACATCTAGGTCAGGTCTATTTTGTTATTATTGTAAATGGGGCAGCAATAAACATGGATGTGCAAGTTTCTCTGTGTTATGATATAGTGTTCTCTCAATATATACCCATGAATGTGGCATAGATGAGTCACAAAACATCCATTTGTAATTTTTAAAGGATCCTCCATACTGTATGTTTAAGTTTATACTTCTACCACCAGTGAGTAAGTGTCCCTATTTCTGCACAGAGTTCTGACATCTGTTGTGGGATATCTTGATGATTGCCATTCTGACAATCCAGTATATTTTCATATGGATTTAATGTATGTGTGACATGATAACAGGAAGGCCTCATTCAAAGTTTTGATATCAAAACCTATTTTGACCATGTCATGATTTGCTTGCAGATATTTATCCATAGTTAAATCCAGTGAAGCGAGGAGTTTTCTTTATTTTGTCATTACAGAAAAAGAAAAGAAAGAACGGTTCTCAATCAAAAATATCTGTGCTGTTTGCCCAAAAGATTGGATTGGATTTAAGAGTAAATGTTTTTATTTTTCTGAAGACATGAGAAACTGGACACTGAGCCAGACTTTCTGTATGGCACAAGAGGCTCATCTAGCTCAATTTCAGAGCAAGGAGGAGCTGGTAAGAAAAAATCAGGAATTGGTTTGTTGTTTGTTCTGTTGAATATTTACTTTCTTGAGATAGGGAGCTCAAAGCTAAAGCATGAGGAAGGATCCCACCCCAGGTAGCAGGGGACATGGGTCACATGTTAGTATGTGTCATTTGTGATGGTAGCACATCTGGCTGTAGCCCTGAGGCATTCCAAAGACATTCTCTACTGTAATGCTAATAGTCACCCTGCATGGCCAGATATATACTTGTCATTGTACTGTGGATTATGGTAGTAAAATGTATCCACTGAGAACTGAAGGCAATTTAGACTCCAAAATCGATTATCCTGAGTTCAAACCTGCTGCCATCTTGAGAAGAGACTGTAGAGCAGAGACTTCATGGTCATCTGAAGCTTGAGAGACACATGTATTTGCTTTCTGTGTTTTACGACAGAATTTCCTGATGAGATACAAGGGTGATTCTACCCACTGGATCGGCCTGCACAGAGAGTCAACACAACACCCATGGAGGTGGACAGACAACACTGAATATAACAACTTGTATGTTTTCAGACCTCTTTTCTTTCTGCTGTGCTCATGTGTTGTGATGTGTGTGAGTTGTGATGAGAGATGAAAGACAGTGTCATGTGAAGCTAACTGTACTGGAAAGGAAGAAAAATAAACCCTTGGGCTGGAGGCGTGCCTTGGGGTAAGTTGTGTGTTAAATGCAACAGTCAATCCCCAGTAAACTCCACCTCTTGACAAATTTAAATGTGTTGGATTTATTTAGTGTTATTTCACTCCATATCTTTAGTATGATGATAGCATCTAGGGTAGATTCTGTGTCTGCTATCACCACTTGAAAATCTTTCCTTGCTGATGACTGCCCTTGTGGGATGTAGGCAGAACTGCTGATGGCTGCTAAGGGCTCTGAAACCCCAGGAAGCCACTGCAGAACAGCTGGGGTAAAACTTGTCAGACAGCTGTTTGCACAGCTGCACCTGTCACAGAAGCAGAGACTCCAGGGGCTTTGGGAACCTCCTCTGAAGTCTCATCATCAAAGAGCACCCCAGACAGCTCCTGGATGTGAGCATAGCCATTTGAACAGACCCCCATTTCACTGGAACAGTGAAATAGAGCCACAGTCATGTCCATCATTAAAGACCTTTCAGCAATTTACTAAGTGGTACATTTCCTCCCACTTTTATACATGTGAAAAATACTTCAAGATAGAATTGATGATCACCTTGTGGTGCTACCCATGGCTGAAGTTCACTTGAACATGGCAGCAAGCACCAGTCCAATGCTTTGTAGACACAGTACAGGGTTCAACATGGATGAATGACAAAGGTCTGGTCATCACATTGAACCCTGAGAATGCAAAAGTCACTAGGTGTAAATCTCGTGCTGGTGATTCCTCCTGGACTCTGCCTTTATGTGATCCATGTTATAAATAAGCAGTGGAGACGAGTGAGCTATCATTGCAGGAGTGAATGCAATGGCAGACTCTGCAGAAATTTTGTTTCTTTTTTGTTTTAGGGTTCCCATCCGAGGAGAAGGAGAACGTGCCTACCTGAGTGACAGAGGGATCAGCAGTGGCAAGGACCACACAACTAGGAAGTGGATTTGTAGCAAGCCTGAGAGCTTTGTACAGTTCCCAGAGGTTTCATAGCTTGTGTCAAGGCAATCATGAGAGACCTGTAACATGTTATCTACAGTCACTGCCTCATTTTTTAATCTGTAAAATTGTCAAAATCTATTCATAATCTGTGGTGACATCCAATATGAAAACTGTCATAGAGGACTATACTTATCGGTGCTTGGGAGCCAGTGGGAAATTCTAAATTACATCAGTGTTTTGATATGAGTTTGTGCTCATTGTATCTTAAACCTAAAGTACAATCACATCAGTATTAGTGACCTCCACTTTTATGACTAGATCTGAAAGTTTTTCCATTAGTTCTTCGTTTGAAGGACAGATACACTAAAAAATGAAGGGAGGGGCCAGGCGGTGGTGGCGGCGGTGGCGGCAGCGGCGGCTGCGGCGCATGCCTTTAATCCCAGCACTTGGGAGGCAGAGCCAGGCGGATCTCTGTGTGTTCGAGGCCAGCCTGGACTACCAAGTGAGTTCCAGGAAAAGGCGCAAAGCTACACAGAGAAACCCTGTCTCGAAAAACCAAAAAAAAAAAAGAAGGGAGGACAGGATGGAGTTAAGATGGTTGTAGCACACACAGGTCCTGCAAAGGGCTAGAATGGGAGGCAGAGGAGTAGAGTCTCTCCTGCATCCTCTCGCAACAGCTCTGAGTATCCTGCCCCAGGCCTCATCACTGGTCTGCAGCCACCAAGGAGGAGCCTCACACACCAGTGCCACAGCCTCTGCAACCCAAGCCAGAGCCACAGTGGTGTCCTGCTGTTAGAAAATCACGGAAGAGTGTCAGAGAGAATGGTTGTATCTCTGGTAAAGGTGCCCTGGCATGTCTGTAGTATCTGTTGTCAGAACCTTTAAAAAAATATTTGAAGACTGATTCAAGATGGTGGTTCATAGGTTGGGTTCTTGGTGCCAACGGAAACATCGCTGTTGTGGAGCCGCCCACGGGCCACAGATACAAAGGTCATACCTACTGAGTCAGCAGGATGGCCTTCACCAAGGACAGAGAGATGTGCAGAGGCCTGGAGCCTTAGTGGGTCCTGCCCCAGATACACTGCCCAGCTGAAAGATCACCCCGTCTCTGGGCAACCACAGGATATCCCAGACCAGTCCTAGTGATAGTCTACGATCACCCAGGATCTGAGCGACGTCAGGATGTCTGTGATGGAGAAAAGTTCATTTTCTGGGTTGAGCCTCCTCAAAAAACCTAGCACTGTCAGGGTGGTAACAGCAGCCTCGGTCTCTCGCCGGCTCTGTCCCCTAATGCACTACCCAGCCTCATGACCACCCTGTCTCTGAGCAACGTTGGGATTTCCAAGATGGAGAATGGTTCATTTTCTGGATTGGGCCTTCTCAAAAAAATCTCCATGGTGTGTGCTGCCACCAGACCCCATGGTGCTTTATGTGGTCCGTGCTACAGCTGGGGTGTCCATAGTTCTGTCTGCCGCTGCAGGCTGTGTTGATACCCATGGAGCATATTGTTACTGGAGACCATATGTGTAGGGAAGAGGGGCTGGCTAAAGAAACCCACTCTGACCCTGGAGCCCAGAATTAGGGAAAGATGGCTCCGATAAGGCCAGTGAAAGAAACACAGTTTGGCTCAAATCAGAGCCATCTCTGGCCCTGGCCAACTGACTTGTGAAACCAACCAATCACAGAGCAGGACAGTCTTGGGGCCCAGTACCAGGGAAAGAAACACAGCCTGGGTTGGGGACCTGAGCCAGAGAAATGAGCACTTTATCCCCAAACCCAGACCAAAGAGTCATGCCCTGACTCTGAAACTAGTGTCAAAACAACACTCTTGGTCTCTAGAATCAGAGTCAGTGAAAGAAATATGCCCTGGCCTTAGAGGCAGTGTCAAAAAGCCAAGAAAGGCCAGTGAAAGAAACACAGTTTGGCTCTGAAATCAGGGCCATCTCTGTCCCTAGCCCACAAAACTGGCCAATCTTTGGGCAGAAAAAAACTAACCAATCACTGGTTAACTCTGCCCCCAAGACATCCTATGTAAACTGCCCTGCCTGGTCAGTTGTGGGCTGTTCTCTCCACCCTGGTAGAGGCAGCTACTCTCCTGTACTCCTCCTTCTCAAATAAATCTCTTTCTCTAAAGAGTTTTGGGTGTGAAAATTTTCATTCACTGGTGTAGAGAAGATCCTTGCTAAGACGTCCCTCAGTGGACAGAGCAAGGGAGAGCTGAAAAAGTAACACTTTTCTTCTGAGCCGGAGGAGATTGCTACGTTTCTTCAGGGGTTTCCCCTTTTGCAGAGTGAAGAAAAAGAAGCAACATCTTAGGCCAGAGAAGCAGAGCTCTACAAGGATCCCCCTTAAGTGGGGCCTGAGCAAAGCTCATCTGTAGCAGCTCTCCAGAGAGGAGCAGGATTGCTTATATCCTGTGGGGAGACCATCCCCTATCACACCAGGTAAACCTGACTCTCCCAAACAGTCAGGATACCCTTCCCTGCAAGGCTGTCCTGGCAACTCCAGGCCTGACTTTCCTGATCAGTCAGGTTACCCTTCCCTGCTGAAGCAGTTCCAGGCCTGACTCTCCAGAGCAGTCAGACAAATTTCCCCTGTAGGGCAGTGCTGCCCTAAGTGGCTTGAGGTATGCGGGATATCTTGCCTTCCAGCCATCAGAGCTGTCCTATGCGGCTGGTGGCTCTAGGCATCCGGGGTACCTTGCCCTCCAGCTGTCAGCTGTTCTAAGTTGCTACCTTGCCCTCTAGGGCTGCTGTCTCATGGTGGCTCCAGCTGTCACCTGACTCCCAAGTGGTCAGGATACCTCTTCCCAGGGTTGCAAAACTCATGTTTTGGTGCAGAAATCCAGGACCAAACCCACAGATTTGCAACAAATTTACTTACAATATGGAATATCCCTGGTCTGTGCTCTTGCTGGGGCTGTGTTCATGTTTGTGGTCTTTGCCGCCTCCCCGCCCCCCAAGGTCATGCTTGTGTCCACAGTCTGAGATGCTGCTGGGGGCCATGTTGATTAACATGGTTTCTGTTACCACTAGGAGCCCTGTCTGCCTCTGTGGTCTGTGCTACCACTGGAGGCCATGTTGATATTCATGGTTTGGTCCATGGTCTGTGCTGCCACAGTTGGCATCAAGCCATGTTGGCATCCCTTGTTCATGATGCTACCTGGGGCCATGCTGATGTCAGTGGATTTTGCTACTGCCGGAGGCCTTTGTTGATGCCTATGGTCCATGTTGCCATTGGAGCCCATGTTGGTGCCCCTGGTCTGAGCTACCACCAGAGGTCTTGTTTGATGTCTGTGGTCTGTGTTGCCATCAGAGGCACATTGGTGCCCTTGATCTGTGTTTTAGCCATAGACCATGTTGATATTCTTGGTCAATTCTACCTCCAGAAGACAAGCAGATATCCATGGCCTTGTTCTTGCTGCTGCTGAAGGCCATGTTGATGTCTGTGATCTGTGTTACATCCAGAGGCCATGTGGATGTAACACAGATCACAGGCATCTATGATCTATGCTGCAGCCTGAGGCTATGTTGATATCTGTGGTCCATCCTGCCACTGGGGCCCATGTAGGTGTCTGTGGTTCTTGTTGCTGCCTGAGGCCATGTTGATTTTAGCTGCCTTTGAATCCAGCTCCCAAGCCACTACCCAGAGTAACTCAGAGAAGACTTCTCAAGAGTGAGGATAGAAAGATATCTGTAATAACTTCACACACGACCTATTCAGATCATGCTGTTTATTCTTCTTCAGCTCTAATTTTCTTTATAGCTTTAATTCTTCCTAGTTCAAATTCCTTCTAGGTTCTAATTCTTTCTAGTTCTCCTCTGTTCTGCACAGCTATATACATATTTTTTCAGGAGGCTTTTTTCAATAACAAAAAGAGTTACAAAGCTAACTCTGAAGGTCATAGTGCATTCCTTGAGTAAACAATGAGGGGCAGGTCCATTCACTATGGCAATTCAATGTTTCACGATTCCTTGTGTATCAGTTGTGACCTCAGGCCAGGGGTACAGTGCCTGGTGAGACAGGCTGCTGTGAGATCTGCACAGGAAGTCAGGTCTTTATCGGAGATGAAAGTCGTGCACCACTGCTCCCAGCCTATTAAACTATTATTATTGCACCCAGCCTATAAAGCATTGATATATTTCACATAATATAAAATAAAACATTTAAATATAATATATAACTCTCTCTCTCCACACACACACACACACACACACACACACACACACACACACACACCCTGAAATTTATCCAATAACTGCATCTAAACAATGGTGACCACAGGGAACACTCTGACATGAGGCTGTCTGGGTGCTGCAGTTCACTTCTGTTACCTTGCACAGAGAAGCATACATATTGTTTACCTATAGCCAGGAAACAGCAAAATTCAATTTTCATGTCTTTGAACTAGTGGTGAACTCCAGTTACTATGATAAAATTGAACAGCTGTCACCTCTGGGTGGCAGCAGTTTCACTGGGAGGTTAAAGTCTAGTGGTGACTTTTTTTTTTTTTTTTTTAATTTTCATCTCCATAATGCAGTAGTGGAATCACAGGACATTCACCATCTACTGAGACTTGCCAGTGATATTGCCATCTGTTGTCCTGCTTTACATATGAAGAAACCCTGTGATAGGGGCTACAAAATTTTTCTAGGTACTGGATAATAAAAAGGGCAATCCATGCTTTCTTTGGTGTGTGACTTACAAGTCAGTTTGTACATTAATAATATACCAACCAGGGTCACGGTGTCAATCAAATTTCTTTATTGAGTTAATGTGGTGGTGACACAATTACATCAGGGGGGAGGGAACATTCTATCCTGAGGGGTAACTAGGAAGACAGGAAGTTAAACAACTCAAAACATCTCCAGAGAAACCAGGCATGTTAATCATACAGGAATGTCTTTCCAATGGGAAAGATGAAAAACCTGTTCTTCCATCCAGAAAGCTGAGAACTGGAAGTGATTGACAGCCTGTGATCTGTGTTATCTGTTGGGCCAGGCCATATCAAGCTCCTACAACCAAGACCAGAGGTGGCTAGTAATCTAAAGGACCCTGATAGAAAGATTCTCCCCCATGCTCCCACAACCAGAGCTGGAATTGGCTCTCAGCCAAAATGACTTCTATGCTATCTGTATGACTCAGACCAGGCCAGAGCCTTAGGTTCTTAAGCTAGTACAGATAGTCTACTTCTAGAAACCATCTTCTTGGAGGAAATGACTTGTATCCTCAGTTGAGTTTCAGTGTAATTACACTTCCTTGTGCAATGGGGATTCTATTACACAAGGAAACTTGTTTTCATATTATGTGGGGTTTAAATACCTTGTGAATATACTGCCT